TAACATCAAGCCCATAACTTGGAATATTAAAATAGACTCATGAAAAGGAATGCTACCACCTATGATAGAAAGTGACTGTAATCTGAAGGTCATCTGCATCTAGACAGAGAAAATAATATAGAACACATCAGAATTCCATAGTTTGCCTAGCTACTTACAATTTGTGAAAGAAAATTGAGTTACCAAAACAGTACATCAGCCTACCCTGATATTTATCTAATTTTTTGGTTGTTTCATATGCCTTGCTACTGCTTTTAATGTCATAACGTAAAAACAAAAAAAAACAAACAAAAAAACTAGAAGAGAATAATGCATAAATCCCTCTAGACAACAGACCTAAACAAACAGACCTTCAATTGGAGAGCAGCAATAGCCACGTCCAAATGGAGAGACCACTGAAAGCTAGCATGCCATAAGAGTCCCAAGGGATGATAGATGCCAAAATGTCTGAATGATCTGTTCTTTCATCTCCAGGCAGGTATTGACAACAGCTCCCTTCTAAAGGTGAGGCTGCATATTGTGTTGACAACTTATATTTAACACTCAAATCAAACACATCTGTCCTCCGGCTGTCAAGGTTGTGTTCAGATGTCTTGTTTTTCTATACTGACCACTTGTCTCAAAAAAACAAAATATACAATTGGGAAGAAGAAGAGGAAAGCCTTTGTCCAGAAACAGTTCAGGAAAGTCTATGTTATTACTGTAAAGAAAATTTGTATTTTTCTTCAAAACCTGATTGCCTTGATTATCTTTTACAAAATCCTCTATCATTTACTGAATCAGATGTATAATGTTAGGCTATCCACCAATTTAAATATAAAAAGTTTTTTTACTGTGCATTGAAGAGTTACTCTCACAGACAGTAGAGCACAATTTCTTTACTGGGGAATTAGCAGTTTTCTTCACATCTAACCTAGCTGTCTGTGCCTCTGTAAAGGCTAAATCATACGTGTTTCTGAGGAAGATTCAAGTTCCAAGCCACAGTCTCACAGCACTGGAGGCTCTGTCTCTAAAAGACCACGATTAAACGTATAAAATCTGTCAGAGAAAGTTCAGATTGGTAAATTTGACAGAACAGAAAGATAACTCTTCAAATTGCTTTACTTAGCAAGATTTGGAAGAAATGCGCCGACTGTACATTCTCTACCCTCATTATATTCTTGGAGTTTTGACTTCCTCTGTTACTCCCTAGCCACAGATAGGTATCTAAACATAGGGAACGCAGACTGTTTTCACAGCTGCTATTACCGTGTTATACCTGTGTACTGTAGGCCACACAGGGGGAGAACAGTCATTCAACTATTAAAATAATAAGATGTAGTTTAGATCAATGGGCTTTAATTGTGCTCTTTAACATTCAGTTTTCTACCTAGAAAAAACGTTGCTAAGAAAAGGAGAGTAAGTTTCTTTGAGGAGTCAGAACAGAAAAGAATGCAAGCCACCAACACTTTGCAGCCCTTTGGCTGTACTAGAAAGCACCTACAACATGACTGTGTGTTTCTAAACATATCAGTGCCTCTCAGAATCTAATCACCTGGTGGGGTAATGTGACACCTCAGAAATACGATTTTCCCCTCCTAAATAAGCACTAAGGAGATAAAATAACAAAAGAGTCCAAAATGTAAAACTTTCATTTCTTTTCAAATGGGAAACACCATTCCCTTCCTAATCAAATACTCTGAAACATCCTATCTGAATTGCAGAACAAGATACATTTAGTATAGCTCTCAGTATATCACTAGCACTATTACAGCTTTAAACCACTATTCACTGCTGTCTCTTATAGGCCAATGCAATTGTCAAGTGGCCTAAAAAGTAACTTTCTTCCCTTTATAAGTGCAGGTTAGGATCACAAGAAAATGGTCCTGTAATTGGTATGCATGTTGGTATGGCCAGAGGACATCAAGGATTCTGAAACACTAAGAATTCCATGTCCAAATCTCTAACTTTTAGAAATTCATGTAGGTCCATTACAATGAATGGAGTTTTGCCAATAGGCCAAATGATGACATGCCTGGTAGAACAAAAGAAACTCAGCATTGATAAGTTTTTTTATTGTTCTAACTCTTTCTTTTGCAGATTCAGAAAATTGAAAACAACAGCTTAAAATAATCCTACTAGTTATTATTCCATGACCAATGTTTTCTTAATAATACAAGCAAAATGTGTCTGGAATTTAGAAAAACAGTGTATTTTCCAACAACACACCAACCAATCAAAAAACTACATTTCATATCCAGGACAAAAAATCACAGCTGTTAGAAAACAAGAAAAAGTACATCATAAAAAAGAAAATACTGCTAAGACTAAAAATCTATAAAGTAACACTGACCTTTTTATATACCTCATAAACAGCACAGAACTATTCCTGCTTCTGCCAAACATTCCAGTTTGCAATGGTGTTCCAGGTTTTCATTAGCATCATAACCACTCAACCTGATAGGCATTGGCTCATATTTGTTTCTCTCTTTTCCCCGTAGGAAAAAATAAAAAATAAAACCACCCCACAGGTCTGTGCTATATAATTATGACATCTCTTGATTGTGAAAGAGCAAAGGGATGACAATGCTCAGGTCTGAGATGTGACCAAACTAGAAGTGAAGGTTCAAACTCAGATTTTGGAAAAGGCTGTATTTGAAATAAGCTCTTTCCTCAAAACCAATTGTTGCAAGAGTACTATTTACCTTCCAGACTGGGCAGCACCCAAGAGGTAATTAGTGATATTAGCATCACTATCTTCACAAACATAATTCAACAAATTCAGTGGCTAAACAAATAAAAGCTTGTTTTTATTTATTTTCATGTAAAGTCTGGTAAGGCAAACAAGAACAAGGAGGCAAGATGATTGGTTGTCCTCCCTTAGGAACACAGCAATAGGAAAGGCCTCAGGTGCTACTCAATTCAGTTGCTTCTTATCTCAGGGAACCTTGGCATAATGTATTTTTTGTAATCTGTTTCCAGTGTATCTCAAAAATAAGTAAAGGAGATATTCTTTCTATCACACCAGTGATACTGAGTTCCATACCTCTCATGAATCACAGGAGCACCAGTGAAGATTTACACCAGACCTCTGTGGTGGGCTTCAAATTGATGCTCACCAACTACAAAACACTTCATTTTCCCATTTGTTTTTTTCTTTTTTTCTTTTTTTTCAGTTTGGTTAAGCCACATAAGCCTTTGGATTTGTTTGTTTGTTTGTTTTTCCCCCACCAACTCTGAATCTATTAAGATGAGCAGGAATGAAAATCTTCGAGCAGCAATACTTCAGGCCCTGACTCAGGGAAGTATTTAAACATTAACTTTAAACCTTGTTTAAGATGCTTCTTCAGAGCTGGCACCTCTTATTAGAACAGCACATGTATATGTTGGCAAACAAAGATATTCTATTTAAGAATTTAGGACCCTTTTGAGCATAACTTGAAGAATAAGTGTGCGTGTTTTATGGGAATAATCTGGTTATTCTCAAAAGATTTCAGTGGAACATTTCACAACTGTAAATTAAAACAGTCTAAATTGTATGTTAATCTTATTTTTTCTTTAAAAAAAAAAAGCAGTTCAAATATATTAAAAATATATTGATTTCTCTACTACGACAGGAAAACAAAACCCTTTCATTACATTCATAATACAGAACAGGAATTTATTCTGTTGTGTAGGCCATGGGAAAAAAAAAAAGTACTGACTGTCCAAGCCTCAGACTTGGATTCTGATATTACCTATCCCAAAATTCAGAACTATTGGATCCAGTACCCACAACCAATTAGCAGAATCAGCTTCTTAATATCTACACTGTTAGTTTTTGAGATGATAGTAATGACCACATTTTAAGACATTTTGATACTGAAGGTGTTTCAGAACAAGAAAAGTATTTGGCTACAATTGATGCTGCTACGTAGGTATGTAAAAGAGTGTGTAGAATGATCACTCCTAAAACTAGGAAAAAAACCAAAAAACTACTCATGATTCCTTTTTTCTTTCTCTCTGTTGAAAAGGAACAATGGAAAAGGAAGAGAAATAAAAACTCAGTAGTCCTTGCTTTTCTATTTCTCTTCCCTGTAATACATAGATGGAAAACAAAACTGATTAACAGGAATATGGCTTGAGGTCTGATATTTAGGTATCACAATAAAGTCTATGAAATCCTCACCAAATATTGTCTCAGCTGCTTTGGAGTACACTTTGCAGTCACAATACCCGATTCCATGTCAGAAATGTTCAACACCTCAGGAGTTTGGGTCCTGTTACAAAAGGACCCTGGAACTGGAAATGAACTAGAAGGAACTGGAAATGAAAATAATCATTGTAGCAGATGATGTGGACATCACAAGCTCACTGTCTGAAAATATTGGAAATTAATGAAAGGGAAGCAAAACGATTCCTTCATATAAAGCGTACTAAAGTACAATGACTATAAGGCCAGAAGACAGGGATTACCACTTCCAAACTATGAAGCAGGAATAACCAAATTGAATTGAAAAGTGGAGTTTTAAAAGAATAAACTTCATTTGTAGGATCCCCAAGTAAAAAGCCTGGACTCCATAATAGCATATAAATTTGTCCTGGTCAGTAATCTATTTTAACAACTTCATGTGACAGTAGTGAAATAATTCCTAAGATGTGGTTAGATATGCAAAGCATTATTATTTTAATATTAAATACAATTATGATTACTTGTATTTTCAGCTCTTTCACGAGGGCAGTCATAATCAATTAAGTCCCAAATTTGGCAAGTGTCTGCATGTGACCTTATTATTTAACTCCACACTAATAATGTTCACAAAGAATAAACCTGACAAAGTACACATGCTTTTTAACAAGTAAAAGGGACAAATGAATTCATTGTCTATTGAAGTAGTTTTATAATATTGAAACATATGCTGAACCAAGCTGCAAGCCATTAAAACAAATCATACAGGCTTTAATTGCAATCCAAATCTGCATTATTAAAGTAATAAAATGACCCTAAAATAAATATTATGGAAGTCACGTTGTCCCTACAAATGAGCGCAGCATGAGAGAGGGATACAATAAAACACTCTAACATGTTATATGAAACAATGTGGCATCCCACAGAGCCAAAACAACAAGAGTAAATCTGGCCTTCCATAACTGCAGGCAAAATTATCCTCTCCTGTAATTTGTCTTTTTTGACCACATCCACCAGACTTGCAGAATTTCCCAATGCTAGCATGAACCATGGATGCAGAAGACAGAGCGCAGGGGCAGCGCCACCAACTCATTCAGACTTGCTGTACACATCTGTCTACCTCTCTGCACAACCCCCACTTCTAAAAATTTAGGTTGACCTCCCAGGCAGGAATAGGTGGCAAGAGTTGCATACTTCAAGACTTCAGGGTGATGATTGCTCACTCCCTGCTAGGTGCTGAGTGCTTTCCAACTCCCGCTGACCCCAACACCATCAGTATGTCACACTGTGTCGTGTCACTAAGGCGAGCTTTGCTTGCACACCTGTAAACGAGGTGACAGAACTGGTGCACAGCAGTACAAGCATGCTGGGTTCCATCTCATATTCCCTGGGAAGGAGCATTGCTGAGAGTCCCTGCAGATCTTCAGTTCTGATGGACATCAAGGCACAGAGATGTCAGAAGCCAGATGCTGTGATACAGAGTGAGGGATTCATTCAGCTTCACTGTGAAAATTGAATAAAAAACTCAGTCTGTTTCAACAATAAATTCTGGCACTCCACAACAGAGGAGTCATTCTTGAGATTATCCATGCAAAGAACATTATTCATATGACATTCACATATGAGATTTGGGAAGGTTAGCCATAAGTGGTTTTGTTTTTATCTGGGCAACTCCTGATCTTCAAATACATGATCTGGTATAATTTCTTATAATCTGCTATTTTAGAATTCTTGATATGCGATTATGACACTTATGATCTATTACAGAGCCTACACTAAAGCATGCAAACCATAGAAATATTTCAACCACAGTATTTGCTGTCATTTCCTATATCATCACATTACATATGGATTCTGACAACAGAAGGATGACATGGGCACTGAAAAGTTGAATTTGAACAGAAGGCCACAGTTCTAATTTAAACACGTATATCCCAGAGACTGAGATAAAACAGATACAGGATTCTATTCCCCTCCTCTCTACTCCAAACTGGGAGATATCCAAATTCTTTAGACAAATCAAGATGAGGAAAACTTCTCAGGAGGGTTTCTTTATTTACAGATATAGGTTGCTGAACACTCTGCTAAATCCCACAGGCTGCCAGCTCATTTCTAGGTATCTTTCCGATGGCTGACCCTGAGCACAAGGTCTAACAGACTGCTACCCATCATTCATCTTTGACTGTGACCAAGTACCAAAAGTACTCTATTGCCTTTGCACTCTGGTGCAGCCAAAACAATCCTGAATATGTTCTGCACTGGTACTTTCACTGTAGGGTACACCATACCTAAACTGATCCTAGTGCTTATTCCACATCAGCTCCCATATCTGCAGGGACTCCTCTGATTGCTCTACGGAGTGCATTTTGCCAGAGCTCTCTGCTTAGCCATCAGAGAAAATCATTTATCACACATAAAACAAAACACATGGAAAATGCACTCCAACTCCAGTAGAATGGGAAGCTGAGTATTTGCTGTAAGAACTGCAGTCTTAAATGCAAATTATTAGTTATGTTGACCTACAAGTGAGATAAGTAGAGTCCCCAATTACTAAGACTCTTGGCCTACTTTTGGTAGCAGTGGTACCAACTTGGATCTTTGGTTGGATCCTCACAATGCGGTTGTCTCTTCCTGGGTCTGAACCATTATCTACACCCTCTTTCCACTCCAAGAAATTTGTGTCTGTTGGATAGGGAGAAAGCTCCTCCTTTTGCTCCAAGCAGAGACAAGGATTTAATCGCCCTGATCTTGCCTGTTTTTGCCATCCATCTCCTCAGGTTTGCAAGCTTGCTTAACTTCACCTCCTTGCTGGGATGTCAGACAGAGCTGTTGATCTGTCCTTGTCACTGCATGATACTGCTGTCAGTCTCTCCCTGATTCTTGGCTGCTTCTTAGCCTGGTGATTTCACAACCTGGCTACCTGCTCAAAAAGTTTATCAAGCTAGACACACTCATACCCACGACACCCTCGTCTTCCCTCAGATCCTCAGGGGACTTCATCACAACTGAAGGACAGTATGTATGAGAAAAGAAAAATAAGGAAGGTGAGAGACTAAATATACTACTGTCTGGATAACAAGTGAGTCAAATATCCAAGAAAAATTGAGAACTACTATATGATAATGGTCCCAAAGCTATACATTATAATACAGTTACATTCTGTATCTTTATTTTCATTGCAGAACATTGATTTTATATGTATTAGTATGTAAATACATAACAAGATCATAAAAAAGAAAAATAGATTGACATTTATCTGCTCGAAAAACACGAAAGTCTTTGAAGTTTCACTGAATATACAATGATTAGGCAGAAGGGGATAATTAAAATATCTGAAGTTCTTAATTTCAAGGAGTATTGAAAGACTAAATGTTTAACAGACCACTCTTACACTTGTACTCAGGTACATAAAAGAATGACTTGCATAATTAATGAGCCCTGGCTTTTGTTCAGTGTGACCTGGTAAGATTTTTTTTCTTTTACAAGGACCATTATGGTCGTGTGAAAAAAGACACTAATTTTTCACCTGAAGAAAATCAAATAATTCCAAAATATTCAAATATTATACATCGATACATTTCAATTATCTTACTTAGTAATGAAGCAGAGGAACCCATGCACTTAGGCATCTCCACTGTACTGTATCGGCTTTTGAGATTTGCTCAGCAGAAATTGACCAGATGAATAGTCGTTTACTGTGTAAAGTCAAAATAGTTACCCCAAACCACAAATGACCTCTTACATTAAAAGGCAGCTTAGCAAGCTATTACCTCTCTTTCTTTTAATTACCAACCTCCACCCCTCTGCTTCTGTATGTTTGCAATCATTTCACCCAACATTGTCTAACCTACATGACAGACAAAGAACATGTTCACAACATTAGCAGTCTTTCCTCTAGCTCTGAGGTTGTCTTAAAGGGACACAAAGTTCAATGCATTGGTCAGTAAGTTAAAGCTCAAGACTGGATGGGAGCAAAAGCTGTGCATAAGCAAGCAAACGCATGGCAGAAGTCCCTTTGTAAAAGGAGCATACTGAAACCAAAATGCATAAATTAATTCCCATGTGAGGAGTTAGCAGGGAGTATCAAGGGTACTGTAAGTTCACACTGTTGTTCCCTGCGTATTCACTTTTTTAAGTAGAAAAATCTAATTGAGTACAATCTTAGAACACATTTAATCTAATGGCTATGGCACTCTCCTAGAAGGCGAGATATCAAATTTCAGCTGGGGACTGTAACATAGGTCTCCTCCCTTCATGCCGCTGTTCCAAAACGCTGAAATAAAAACCGTCTTTGTGTGAAATGCAGTCATGTTCTGCACGTGCCTGCCAGATGAAATCCTGAGGTAGGATGCATGAAGTACCTAAAATGAGCACGGAGAGTCTTCTGCAGACATAGGCACCAATTAGAGGCAGCTGCCTCCAACTTAAGTGTCTGTATACACATTAATATTTTGAGATACTATTGATACTTTCCTAGAAACTTTTAGCATTTAAAGGCATTTCATACCTCTGAAGGTGGGCAAAACTGAGTTTTTGCAGATATGAGTACATGTAACTGCTGAAAATGTCACCCTATTTTATTTGCTTTATCATCCATCTATTACAGCATATACAAAACATTTTAAATATCATTTTATATCTGATGCCTTTTTCCACTATAATGAGGCTACAGAATTCTGTTCTTCATGTCAATATGGAGCAGTGGGACAGAACAGACAATATGTTCTGATCAATGCCTGTTATCTCGTCTTATATGAACACAAGCATCCAGACTTCACCCTCCTTTATGTTTTAACTTTCTACGAAGCACATGGTCATAAAAATAAATGTTTGCCTTACTATCACTTTAGAGACCACTTTTAGAAGATGGCACTGATAACTACACTAACTACACTAAATAGAGGCCTTTGTTATGTTTTTAGTTTTCAAAGTGTTAACATTTAGATGCTTACAGTGTTTTTCATTTTAAATTCCTACTGATATTTTGCAACACTGTAATTACAGAAAGACATTTTGTTTCTCTTTCCATTCATTTCACTTGGGATCTTTGTAAAAAAATAATTCTTCTCAAGTTTAATGTATCCAAAGTCAAACATTCTATAGTTTGAAGAAATGACTTCAGAAAGGTCTTAGCAGCCATGAGACAATCTTTCATCACATTAATTCTCTGATTCATTTTCAAGCTGGGATTAATCACTTTCAATCAGCTATTTTATAGGCATAATGTGAGAAGCTCTAAGGTTTATTTGGAGTATTACTACTTGTTTTCTTTGCACAACCTATTATCACAAGAAAGCAAAGTATGGCATGTCAGTGACACAAAAATATTGCTCCCTTCTCCATCAGTCAGAACTGGGATCAAGTAGTTTTAGCTCAAACAATTTGGTCAAGATAATTTCTAAAAAAGTACAGGTCTGCTTTTATAAGATAGGAGTAACTAATGTTTTTCTGTACAGATAGATCATTAAAACCTTCCATTCCTTCTCTCTCACTGCATATGTGTGAGCAAATCCTATGGATAAAACATATAGATAAACTGTGTTGTTCATTTCTCTTTTGGGAGTAATGGAGTAACTAACAGCTGACTTAATAAGTACAAAACATGCACAACAGGAAGATTGCTTCATTTCCTAAATTTGACCAGGTGGTAATCCAGGCCTGATCTATGAGTCCTCAAAACTGATTTAACACCGTTAAGCAAGTGCTACAGTTCCTACACTGGGTGATTAATACATGCAGAGCCTAACACTTTCTATTTAGTGTCACTTGTATCTTAATGGAAGTGGAAATTAATGATATAAAGCAGACTTTAACAAATGCTTTTTCAATCTTACTTGTCTACATTAACTATCCAGCAAGTTCTTTCCCACCGACAGCAAACAGTATATATTAAGACATGCTAACTCTTATTTTCAGAACTACTTAATAAATCCCATTTTTACATATTACTTTAGGAATCAGCTGATTTTTTTTTCCTGGTGAAATATAGGATTAACATTTTAATTTAAAAATTAATTTTGTAATAAAATGATACATCTATTTCCACAGTTACCATTTTTCATTCCTTTCCACTTAAGACCTCTAACTGAACAGTTTGAGAAGATCCATATAGACGCAACAGCAGAAGATAAACTATTCCAGAGACAGTGATGAGGAGAAACATAGCTCACATAATCTGAAATATCATGAGAATCTATTTTTCATTACTGAGTACAAAAAATCCTGCAGCAACCAAGCTTACCTAAATCTTTAAACTAGTTGCCTCAGTTTAGAGGCCCTTTCAGAAAAATTATTTCAGTCTAGTTAATTACATCTTCACTACTGTTTCATTAAGAACCACTAAATTCTACAATGTTCGACTCAGATCAGAGATGTGCTTTCCCCATACTGTGCAAAACTTCCTCAATGTTGAGATAGTTACATTTATTCACACAATTTCAGTCAGTCAGTACAGATATATAGAGTTAAGTAATTAAATTTTGCAAAGATGATCTGTGCACCAAGCATGTTCTGTCCCCACATAGCTCATGTCATCCGGACTGCACCTTCTCTACTCCAGGACTGCAGAGACTCACCAGATCTTTCTCTATTCATGCATTTCCAGCTTCCCTGAGGATGCTGTAGTATGAAGTATCATAGGAGAGAGCAAAGAAAAAGATCTGTGTGGTCTCATTTCCAAGCATCCATTTTCAAACAGAAGTTAGTTTAATTTAAAAGAAGAGGAATGGACAGGAAAAAAAAAAAAAAAAAAAAAAAAGGAAGGATAAGAGAAGCAACAAGACAGAGAAGGATTTGTGAGAAGGAACAACAAAGGTATAGAAAACAGACTCTGGGGCAGATGCAGGAAAAAAAATGAAAGTCTGGTAGAGGCCATGGGCTGATATGAAGAAGAACAGAACCATGAGAGAATTGGCATTTCCAGGACACAATTCTCCACAGTCACAATATCATTTTTGAGTAAATAGCTATGAAGCCCAGGGGCAAAATATGTGGTTCCATTCCCCTCTACTGGCAGGTATACCTCAGAAAAACACCCATCAGTATTTTATTGCTGTGATGTTCAAGATAACACAGTAACCTAAAGTTTTAAAACCTGTCAGTGACCTCTGTATGGTGTACATATTATTTTCATTACTCTTTCCTCCCCTGTTGTTTCTTTTTTAACATTTATAAAAAAAAAAAAACAGTCAAAAGCTACATTATACAGATGTTAAGTACACAAGTATAGAGAAAGTAGGAAATTAATTTGCATATTAATGCCCACCAAAGGGCGTTGCTAGGACAATAGATTTGGTATTGTAGGACAATACATGTTACAATACATGTGCATTTTCCTAAGAACTATCATGTGCTTAGCTCCAGACTGGATACATCTCACTAAATGCACAGATAATTAGTTCTGATATTCTAAACTGATATATTGGGAAAATTTCACTTGGCATTTTGAAATTATCAATTTTGTGCAATAATGTACTTGATCTGCAAGTAAAAAAAAATGTCAGAGTGCCTTCTGCTTTGATTTCCTTTCCTTTTTTTTCTGTGATACAATTTCTCTCTGTATTAGCATTTCCAATTCTAACATAATGATTTACTTACAGAATTCCTAAAAATTGAAGTTCATTTTATTATATTTATTGTAACATTGACTCCAGTAATACATACAGATAGCTATTATGCTAAGAATTAAATAAGTCTGTGATAGAGCCTTAATGTCAGAAGCTGTTCCCTATGTTTGGTGCCAACCACAAGAAAAAGTGCTATTCATGAGAACCTCAGAACTGTTACCAGCTCAACCGGTACGAGGTGACCAGGCAATCTGAGATTAGGCAAGATGAGGAGAGGCGCTCAAAAAGCTAGTGGTAGCACTGAGAAGAAAACCCAGAAATCCTTAGTTCAGTGACTCATTGATGGAACTGTGCTTTTCTTCTAAGCCATGCCCTGTAGTCCCTTAGAATTTATACAGTACTTATGTAGTCCTTGAGCATTTACGCTAGCAAGAATTCCTAGAAAACCAGTGAGGAAATAAAGAAGAAAGAAAATTATCAGCTTCAGAGCAGCAATAAGCATTACTTTACAGTAAGGCAAAACGTGAATACAAAGTACGGAGCGAGTGGACTAGTCTAATTGGTAGACTTTTAAAGCCACAAATCTACTGACATCTAAAATGACAATACACACCTAAGTGTTAGTGTTGCATAACGACACATACATAAACAAAAAACCTCAAATGATCATTAGATTTCATAACTGAAGAATCATTATTCATCATTTGGGTTTCAGTTGCTACAAAGAAAGGAAATGATCACATCAGATTCTGCACACTCCAGAAAATAATACCTCTTCAATAAGTCCTCATCTTCTAATTCCAAATCCTACATTCAGAAATGTGATTTCTGAAGTAAAAACTGAAGTACAAGAAAAACTATTCTACTTAATATTTGTTCATTTTTTAATGCATTACTGTGATGACTTTATTGAGATAGGATGGAGCACTTCAAAGTGAATTATTTTTTGGTTTGGAGTTCTGCATCCCTTCCAAATTGTAATAGAAAATTATAGCGAATGTAATAGTTTGTCAACATGGAAATTATTAAGTGTTGGTCCTCCACTTATGACCCAATTTGAAATTTAAACAAGAGCAGTCATAATTTAGGTGAAATTGGTAACCCAACCAACCCTCAGAAGACAACTGGAACCTAGTGGTTTCAATAAAATATATATATATATATATATATATACATATATATATATATATATATTTCATGCTATTTATAGAAACTCCTTAAGGAAAATACTGTAAAAGTTAACAGATCCTATTAATTTTGTTCCCTTTATCTTTCATTATTATCCTGAATTTCACTGTAGATTCCCAGCAATCTTGCTTTACCATGAAGTTTTTTGCTTGTGTTTTGGATCCCAGACACATTTTGAAATAATATTTCATTCTGGTGAACACTCATTTTTCTATTTAAAAGACTTCCTTTCATTAAGCACACAAAAACAGTGATAAAGACTATACCTGAAGGGTGAAGTATGGGTAATTTGTCCCACTAAGCATTTTAATTTGTTACATGCACACTTTAAACTGCAAAAGAATTTCAAAGACAGCTTGAAAAGACTGAAACTATCAAACGTTAGTTAAATTTTGAAGAAAAGCCAATGTTAAGGAGGCTCATGTCTTGCTGAGAACCTGCGGATTACTTTAATTTACAATGCTGGGAAATTTTTCTCTGCTTTTCAATTGCATGCTCACAAAGTTTTAATTTGAAAAGTTTTGAAAACATCATCATCATGCTGCTGAAAAACAGCCAATTTTGATTTACAAGTATGCAAAGGATTACTTGACAGGATTCAGGCCAGGCTGCAGGACATAAGCCCAGAAAACCCTAATATGATATAAGCACAAGCAAATGATGGCATGATTGCCTTTGATTGCACAACTAAGAAAATGTTTAGAAGCAAGCCAAAGAGAAGTAGGTAGTACCTACCTGTTTGTCTATGTTAGAGTTTGTGAGTACGTTATCTGCATATGAAATTCTGAAGCCGTGTTTCCTTTTGAGTAAATGCAGGTGCCACTTATAAGACTGGAGGAAGTTACTTCTAGCACAGAACATCATTGGGTCTGAGGTCATTCAAAGCTGTAGCAGCATAAAGGAACTGTGAAAGGACAGGGACTATCAGTTAGGTCTAACAGAAAATATTCTTTGTAGCTCACCATCAAAATCAGCAGAATTGCTAATGTCTAGAAATCTGAGTGAAGATACCAAACTCAAAGAAGAATATTTATTTAAATGCATTGCTTTTGTGCTAGGAGTGAGCTTCCCCTTTATTCAATTTAATTTAATTCAATTTATTGTCAAATAAAATAGGTAAAGATAGTGAAAAGCAAAGAAAACCTTAACACTTTCCTTCACACCCTCTTTTCTCAGGCCCAACTTCATTCTTTTACTCCCAGTTCCTCTGATTCATCTCCCCAGCAGCACAGTGGTTGGGGAACAAGGATTGCAGACTGTCCATAGTAGGTCCCCTTTGCCTCTCTCCTCTTACACTTTCCCTTGTGTTGCCCCCCACAAGCCACAGCTCCTGTCAGGATGTACCACTGCTCTGCAATGGCCCTATCCACGAGTTCACTGGGTGCCTGGAGCACCTCTTCCCCCTTCCCCACTGGCCTTGGTACTCCTGTTGCATATTTTTCCCCTCTGCCTCCACCATGTTTTCAGACTTAAATGCTTATTCCCAGAGGTGCCATCATCTTAGTTGCTGGGCCCATGGATGCAGTGGAGACTTGGAGCCGGATGTAACCAGTATATCACAGAAGCCACCCCTGTTGCCCCTACCAAAAAACCTGCACCCAATGCAATGCTGAAGGACAGAAAGACATTCACTGCAAAAAACCCTCAAAACAAGATTTGTTCCAGTGTCTCTTTCTGGTTGCTGCAAAAGAGGTCACCATCACCAGGAGAGGAAAAGCCAACTTGACACATGAAGAAACAGCAACCACATAAATTCCCAAAAAAGCCATGTGTGAATAACATTTGAGTATGTATTTTCCATCTGGAAAAAATATAAAGAACAGTGATTTTGGAAAAAAAAAAACATCTAGAAAGTGACTTGGGAAAAATCGTCTCCTCTTGCTCTGACCCTTCAGAAAATAAAGTCTTTCATGACGTTTGTTGTAACTGAAAAGTAGAGTAGTAAACAAGAAGCATATTTTCTGGTCATCCTAATAAACACCTCGCTACTGGCTAACCATGCAGGCCTAAAAGGAATTATAAAAGTATAAGCTGCAGTTGAGCTTAAATTGAACAACTTTTCTATTTTGCAATCAGACTTCATAGTCACTAAGCACAGAATTAACTGCCCTGAATGCGTACATATACATACAATTAAATGCTGTTGTACTGACTGAGACCTGAGATACTCACTGTGTCAAAGAAATAGCAAAGCAAAGACATTTCCATATGTCTCTCCCATGCAATTGTAAGCACTTGGTTACCAGAATGATAGAAAAGCCAGAGTGGGGGGGAAAATATCACAGCCATGCAGGACCACAGTGCTAACCTGAGGTCTGCTCACAAAGTAACGCTTTTCACTCTGGGTTTGGTTACTGATGACAATGAAAAAAAACCGAACAGCATGACAAAGTGAGGATATTTTCAATTCCGTACATTTGAATAATATAATTTTCCCCATTCTTCATCTGGCTATAAGAATATTTCAGCAGCATTAGGACTAAGTTTACAGTGGACAGAAACTAAAGAAAAGCTTCAGTACACCCAGAAATTTAGTGGAAGATGCAATATGCAGGAAGACACAGCAACTCTGTCTCTTTTCATCCCTTTGGACTTCCACCATCTCCCATCTATTGTTCAACTAAATTCCTACAGTTGTACACAAGCTCTCTACCCAAGGTATTTTTGTATTTCCTATCATTAGAAATTCCTCTCTAAGTGCGATATCGAAACAGACCTCTAATTACTCCTGAGCAGTTATAAATGCAACAAAACAAAGGACAACAAGTAGTAACTGGAAATTCAAAGAAAGCATGGCAATTCTGGAAGTACTACAGGAGGTCTAATACCCAATCACGCATGTTAAATTCTACAGTTTAACACAAATTCAAAATGCATTGAACTGTATTTCAGGTGGTTATGTTTGCAGTCATTTTACAAGTAATAGTAAATACTGCTTTCAAAGCTTAATAGAGACTGATTTCTGTCATTATTCACTTCAGTAGCAATGATACTGTTAAACTTGATATCAGCTCATTACATCTTTAAGTTGGAGCATAAAATATACTATTGATGTTAAATACAATTTGGTCTGATTAAATTCCAAATCACATGATATTAAATTCTGATTACTGCAAAAGGTTTACTTTACAACTACATGCTACCACAGTCAGATAAAATAAAAGTTCAATTTTACAGTCATATTTGAGAATGTTACTTCGTGAACTGAAATTTGAGATCCTTAATGTTTCTAACGAATTATTTGAAATCAAGAAAGAGCTGTATTCCAGCAAATTCTCAGACAGTACAGTTCCCAGTGGTACTGTTACAAGAAATTCAAAATCTCATTAGAAACACTTCTGAAACTATGTGGACTCTAACCCCACATGAAAAGTGCTAGAAAAATGGAATGTAGATTTAACAATTTTTGTTTCAGATATGTGTTTCTACCCCAAAAAGATTAGGCTGAGCAATTCCACAGCAAAAGTAATTCTCAACAATAATTCTTGGCTAAGCTTACTGAAATCTATAGATTTCTTTTAGGACAAATCGTAAATAAAGAGTTTATCGCATATTTCAGTGTTCAAGATTCTGTTCAAAGACTTAAACAGAGGTAACATTCTAGTAACCTAACAGACATATATAACTTTAAATTAAATGCAAGACAATATTTTCCAAGAGTCTGTTTTTTAAAGAACAGTATTACGTGTCAGGGTTAGTATCCAGAACAATAAAGTATCTAAGATCAAACATGCTTCAAAGACACTTATACTCCCTGAAAATCATATTTTAGATAAGTGTTCAAATAAATATTTAAGAAACACAGTACCTTCACTGCCTTCTGATTTTCTTTTTCTTCTTTTAGTCACCACTGTTAGCTACTATTGCAAGATCACAGACATAGCACTCCAGTTCCCATTTCATTCATATGTATACATGAAGCAGGCCAATTCCTGAGTAGCATTATTTAAAGCTAACTGGATAAAGTCCCAGAAGGAAAATGAATTAATTAAATGGTAGCTGAAGTCTAGCGATCTTGTTCATGACTATGATCTTGGACAAGCAGGCTGGTGGCAATGAACAAAAATGTCTTAAACGTGTATTCAATCTAGCATTCATCTGGAAATGCCATAAAAAAAAAAAAAAGAGTCTTATTTATTCTTAAATCCTGTTTGATCTGTATAAACCATACACACTCTCAAGAAGGGAAAGAAAGAGAAAAGTTTTATGTCATATTCACAGCACTGCTTTTCACTTATGGAAGAAAAGGATTGTAATTGTTGCTCTGCAAAATTTAAAAAACCCTGTATTTGATTTAAATATATAAAAGCCTATTTGCTCTTAAATGAAAATTATTTTTGTCACTGTATTAAGATACATAAAAGAGCCATTTCCCTTGAATTTAAAACATGACTAAGATGTATTCTCAGTTTGAGAAGTTCAAAGCAAACACCAGTTACTTCATCAAATATGATAAAAAACATTAATTGGACAGACTCATGTATTTTGAGGCCAGAAGTATTATTTTGATTATCTAGTCTGATTTCCTATAAAATAACACATAGCTTCCTGTATAGATCCTCACTAAGTGATTTCATCAAGTCTTTATTTTCAGGTTTTACTTGACCATATGGTTTATTAAATAACCAATCTTAATTCACTTGATGTTGACATTTTTTTAAGTTAGCTCATGTAGAAAAGGGACCAACTGACTTCTTTCTACCAGAAAGGAAATGAGATAGCCATTACGAACGACTAGCAATTGTACCTTAGAGTTTTATATTTTCCTGTTTCTGAAACTGCCAACTCATTCTCAGTTTATCATCTTCTCCTACCTCCTCGAAGTCTCATTAGAGCTCAGAACTTTGATACTTATGGTAAGATAAGTTTCAAGATCCTCTAAGAATATGCACATTGGAGGCATATTTCTATTTCAAAGAACTTGTTGAAGATGCACTCAAACCGTTTTCATTAATGCTCTCAATTAAAAACAGGTATGGTTAAAGTTTTCCTTGGCACTTGAAAATGCAATGAGACACATTGCAGACTTAGAATTACTTTTCCATTTCTTTGCCTGTGCCAAATTATTAAACAAGAACTTAACACTAAACTTATTCTCTCTGTTTAAAAGATTGGGGCACTCCAACAAGATGAGCAGTACACTTAAAACTACACCTGAATTTCTTGGGCTATCAGTAAACAGAGAAATAATATTGCCATAGACTCCAATTTACCTTTTTCGCTATTACAAAGGTATCTGAGCAACTCTTAAAGTGACATAATTCATGATGCATGGCTTGTTTGACGGAAAAACACAATAAGTAGAACGGCTAGCAGAGATTTCCTTTCCCTCCAACATCAAAACAGTTTATTCAATTTCCTAGTGTCTAAGACTTCAGCAAAGCTGATTTATTAAACTGCAGCTCAAAAAACAGATTGATACCCCAAGTCCCACAGCTGACCTCTGGTTCAGAAACATCTGGTCCAACAAAGGCACAAACACTACATCTGTAGATAGTAAATCCATTAGCCATAATGGAACTTGTCAGCCAGTAATATAGAAGTATGGCACATGGAGCAAGTAATGATAGGTTTTACTGAGTTTAAAGGTACCTTGTGACACGTATGGTTCAAGGGTCTTCTTTCCTAGGGTGTCACCATCTGCCTAACATTAATGATGAAGACAGACCCTAGGTCCAATTTACAGATACAAAACATCTTTTACTCTAGGAATCAGGTCCTCATGCTTTGATTACATCCTCGTCTGTAGGTCTTCCAACAGTGGTGACAGAAAATCCTTTCACAACTACAAACTAATTTTTCTGTAAATTTGATGTTAATAGTTAGAAGTTTATAAATCAAGGATTATAAAATCAATCCCTTCTTTAATCTCTGGGATTCATATTTTGGTTATTTTTTCTATGT